ACCCAAGGTCACGTTTTGAATATGATGAAGCGTCAGCATCGTGGATTTTTCTGGGGTGAATTTATCTATATATCTATAAAAATGTGATAGAAAATCTCACCTAGCGACCACTGTCAGGTTAAGCGCTTGTTCAACTACTTCCATTTTAGACAAAATCAAGTATATAAAATTATCGTGCGAAAAATTAAAATAATTACATCGGACACTTTTGCTGATTTTATTATATATATATATATATATATATATATATAACAAAAAATAGGAAAATAATGGGCAAAATCCGCCAAAAGGAGGGAAGTGGATTCGAGCAGAAAATAGGATAGGTAACCCGAGCGATACGTATTTCTGCTGGTTGGCTTCGTCACGCCCAAAATGAATGCACATATGCAATTACAAAAGTAGATACGCATGCCCACACATCCAGATACGAGTGTAATCTGAGGAAACGAAGATGGAGACAGAAAAAAACGACACACGAAGTCCACAACAAGAGCCAACCTACACATTGTAGTATAAAATGGCTAGAAGACCTCGAATCTTTAAGGAGACATCTAACTACAACCACCCGGCTGGTTATAGCCACTTGCTGTGGTACTTCAAGCCCAAAGGATCTACAAAAAGAAAATGATCATGCGAAGAAAGGTATATAACAAAAAGTAGGGAAATAATGGGCAAAATCCGCAAACACGAGGAAAGTGGATTCGAGCAGAAAATAGGGTAACCCGAGCGATACGTATTTCTGCTGGTTGGCTTCATCAGACCCGAAATGAATGCACATATGCAACCAGAAAGTAAGGTACACATGCCCATACATCCGGATACGGGTGTAACCCGAGGAAACGAAAATGGAGATGGAAAAAAATTATGACACACGAAGTCCCCAACAAGCGCCAACCTACACATTGTAGTATAAAATGGCCTCGAATTTTCAAGGCGACAAATAAGCACAACCACGTCGCTATAACCGGCCCCATAAGGTGATATTTCGTAGGACCGTACGATTTGTTTTAAAAAATCTTATGAATCAGTCAACCTTGCAATTTGGTCTAACGAAGTGTGAGTGGTTGATGGTAACACTTGCACTTTCAACAAAATCTCCCTGCACGCTCCAATACAGAAACAAGTTTTAAGGTCAAATGTAGGGGGTATGATGTGTGAAATATGTACTGATAGGTGCTTGAAATCAATAGGGTTTGGAGTGTATAGATATACCCCTCAACTCTCGATTTTTAACCGCTACAAAATTTTCTGTAAAATGATCAGGAGCCTCTGAAACATCAAAAAATGAAGATTGAGCGGTTTTTATCTTTCGTGTTTTAGCCCCCAGCTCCGCCATTGTGTAAAAATTTCATCGAAATCCGGGTAACCGAGGGGCACTTCTCAAATTATAGGTGGTTATAAGATTAGCGGATAGACCGACAGACAGACAGACGAAAATAAGTGTCACGGTTTTTCGTGATGTAAATGTCATATAACATCCACAAAACGTAATATTATTTTCGAAAATTTTTACTATTATTACAATACTTCCCGGCCAGTAGGCATGAGAAAACGTAATTTGTAAGTATAGTATACCGCACATAAGAATCACTATAACAAGCCAACGCTTTGCAGTTAAAACAACGACGATGTTATGTAAGTGTTTTGACCCTGTTTCAAAGAAAGTTTCATATTGGACCGCGAATTTTTCCGAGCTCTTTTGAAGAGCTGTGAGCTTTTACAGATTATGCAAAAGCAGGCTGAATTTGCCAACAATAATAACGTCTAGTCGGAAAAAATAGCGCATCTACCTTATAAAAATAAGCAAAAGGTATAAAAAATGCATCATGCACTTAACCACACGTCAGTGCTTCGGTGAGCAAGAGGTCCTTACTGGAACCAAGAAGGCGCCTCCAACATACACGATTGTGACTTGGGGGTTAGTTCTGCTCATGACAGAGCACTCTTGATTGGCGAAAGCATAAATGAGCCCTATTGAACATAAAAGTATAAAAACAGGTACTTACTCTAGTTGGCACTGTAAAGCGCAACTGGTCTCCGCGCAGGGTAGAATGGCAGGAGAGACCCCCGAGGGGACTGTCCCCAGAGTGGGAATGCTCTTAGTTGTCCGCTTAACTACTTTTATGATCAATAATAATCCCACTTCATCTGTTCAGAATAGACCATTGCTGATTATGCATATTCATCAGCGGATGTAGTTTACGATATCTGTTCGTAAGCTAGCGAGCTGATGGTACGTTCAAAGTCTTAAAGGCCGGTCACTTCTCACATTATGGGTATTTTCCAAATTCGGAAATCCATGAATATTCCAAGAAGGCAAAACGAAGTTTTCCATTGAGGTTTTGAAGTCTTCTTCAGAAATACATGTCGGATTTTACTATTAAAATTTACCAATCAGTAAGCTTTTTTCATACGCATATTAAAAGAAGAATTTTATTATAAATCTCCTGGTCTAGCTAGAAAAACATATTTCATCATTTGATTCGCGGATCAAAATGGTATATTTCGGATTGGTCAAATTTGATCCACCATTTTGTGACATTTTTTTAAATGGGATGGGGGTCAAGTAATACCATATTTTGTTTCTTATCAGTGCTTGATAACCCTAGAATACTCGTATATATTTACTACCCTTCATCACAGCGGACTGGCAGGCTAAAAGTTTGAGCTTACATATACAGGGTGGCCCATCCATGTGTGGACGGAATATTACTAATAATCTATTCATCGCATGTTATAAATGACAATTTAGGGCATACTTCTAAAATATTGGCAATTATACAGGGTGTCCCAATTTTGACCTACATATCAAAGTTGTGATTTTTTAAATAGAATGCCTCAAATTTTATTGCTTATTTGGATAAACCAATTCAAAAGAAGAAGATTGATATAACATACTATGGGGTTTTGGTAATTAGCTACTGAAATGTAAGGTGTTTTGTCCAGAAAAGCCGTCCACTTCGGCAACCCCTCAATCCGCCATTTTGAAATTTGGAGTACTGAATTTTGTATCAAAAAAACATACACAACTCAGCTTTTATATTATTGTTATTTTTTCCAATTTTCATTTTTGCTCATACAGGGTGGTCAAAAACGCGATTTGTACTTTTCCTCAAAAACTTAAAATGCATCACCCTGTATATTTCTGCAAGTTTGGATTAAATTGTTCATAAGCTTTTTTTTTGTATCAGGTTTGAATCAGATACAGTCACTAGATTTTGAGTTATTAAGCTTTTAATAGAATAACACCTTCCTTTCCTTCATATTTTCCGGGGCAGATGGTGGATATCTACAGGCATAAACCTCTTGCTTAACGTAGCCCCATATAAAGAAGCCCATCGGTGTCATATCTGGTGATCTAGGAGGCCAAGATATAGACCCATCACGACCGATCCAACGATTGTTACTCCAGGTGTCCAAATAGCTCACGATTATGATAATGCGCAGGAGCGCCGTCATGTTGGAAATACATACTCGTATGCATTCGAGTTTGCAGGTTGACATCCTCCAAAAGCAAATGCAAATGCTCGATCAAAAAATTCCCCGTTAATCTGGTGTCGAAAAAGAAAGGCCCGATAACTTGTCTGCCAATAACTCCTCCCCAAACATTCAATCTCCATTTATTTTGTAAATCTATTTGCCTAACCCAGTAAGGGTATTCCGTCGCATAATAGTGCATGTTATGCATGTTGACAGCACCTATGCTGTTAGCAGTTGCCTCATCGCTAAAAAGAACCTTATCCTTAAGAAAGTAGGGTCTTCACTCACTTTATTTAGCATTATTCTACTAAACTCCATTCGAGCTGCGAAATCCTGAGGACGAAGGCCTTGATGCAAGCATAGGTGATATGGACGGTACCTATGCTTGTGAATAATCCTTTGGACAGAAGTTCTGCATATATCAGTTTCTGCTCCAATTTGCCGTGCACTTAAATGGAGATTTTCCTGCAACTTTAATAGAACCTCCAACTGATACGCCTCATTGGTGACACTTGGATCATTTATACTTTTTTTCCACTGCTCCACTTGATTCAAAACGTTCTCGTAGTGTGGAAAATGTTTCCGGCCTTGTATGTCGCATATTAGGGTACCGTTGCTTATAAATGCGAGATGCTAGGAAACTATTTCTTTGGGCTTCGCCTAAAACGAACACCATATTCACCAGTTCTTCCTTAGAAAAATTCATTTTCAAACAAGTTTTTATTATAATGCTCACAAAGCTAGTTTTGTCAGTTTGTAACTAATCAACAATTTATTTGTTTCCGAGGATGATGTGATATTTTAGGGAATTAGACCGTTCCATAAAAGACGTGCTAATAACCGAAAAAATAGCCGTAAAAACCCTTATGTGTCTAGTATCAAAAAAAAGCTTATAAAAATTTGAATCCAAACATGATGCATTTTAAATTTTTGAGAAAAACTACAATTTCCGTTTTTGACCACCCTGTATGAGCAAAAATTGAAATTCAAAAAAGTAACAAATAAGATGAAAGCTGAGGTGTGTAAGTTTTTTGATACAAAATGCAGCACACCAAATTTCAAAATGGCGGACTAAGAGGTTGCCGAAGTAAGGGGTTTTTCTAGACAAAACACCTTATATCTCAGTAGCTAATTACGAAAACTCCATAGAAATGTGCCCTCAAATATCATGTATAACATCCCATAAATAGATTTTGCCAAAATGTATTCGTTTATGAGTAATATTCCGTCCACACATGGATGGGCCACCTTGTATAAATATTATATATTATCTGAACATGTGATGAAATATGGAATTGTCCATTTAGAAGAAATTGAAAAGTAACGATTAATTACTTTGTATGTGTGCGTTAGGAACTAGGTATCAGAGTTTCACGAGTGCACTGAATATTTAAGACAACAGATTCACTATTTTCAATGTTATCACCAAAGATCATGCATTTTTAGAAGACTTCCAAAGTATCCAATATAACAAAGAATCTAACGTAAATTTTCTTAAAATTATGCATATTTGCACTTACTTATGCACTTTTCTCCTCTGAAGCCGCATTCAGGCACGGAAATAGGTGGTTGTCCACTAATCCAGTCGATTCGGTCAGTCATTTGCAGCTCCTAAAAAGGTAAAACCATATTTTCATCACCCTATAGATAATCTGTGAGGTTTATTCTGTATGAAAATTGCTGTGTGAACCAGGTCAATATACAATCCGTATAATTGAGGAATATACTCAATGACAAAACAGTATCATAGGATTGGAAAAAGTTTCTTCTTGTACATCTCGAATATTCATGAAAACTGAATGCATATTTGGGCCTCTTTAGCCAGTGTTATGGTATAATACTGTTTTTTTACATCGAAGCAACATAAACTTAAACACCGAGTCAGCGCGACTGTTAAAAGGATGTTAGAGACACCTTGTTAATCCAATTTTTGAACTGTCTAACGTTAGCAGTTCTAAGAAAAGCCTACTCAGGCAGATTGTTCCACAATCTCGAAACCCCAGGACAAAAAAGTGGTCGTACCGGTCAGTTCTGGATGTACGAAGTTTGGCAATGGTTAGGATGGGAGGTCGAAGTCTGGCGGGTCTGTCTGGCAGGCTCATCGTGCGGCGGCATTATGGAGGAACAAACCTCGTTGACATAGCAGTAGAAGAGAGCCGGGTCGCAGACGGTCCGTCGATGCAAGAATGTTTCGAATCCGTCCGCTACAGAAGTGTCACCCATAAAGTCGGTTGGGGCTGCTCTGAACAGCATCGAGTATGGACAATGTAGTCAGGACCTTGTACAGAGTGAGGAGGTTATGTGGAGAAAAGTGACTCCAACCAGTCGAAACGAACGGCTCATTGGTACAACTCGGCCATCCACCGGAACCGGATGAGCGTTAGGGTGCTTCTTGTTAGTTAAAATACAGTACTGTGTTTTGGAAGCATCAACTGCACAAGACTGTTGCATCCCCAAGCCGTGGTAATCTCCAGATCTTTCGTCAGAAAGGAAGTTTTTTCTGCTAGTCTTCTCCTCTCCAGCTCACTAGCAGAAAGCGGCTCGGCACTCTGCACTCATGCATGTAGAGTGTGCACTATGGATCTTATTGATGACACACGAAGGGAGGTCGTCGATATATAATAGAAACAACGTCAGAGTCAAGATCAACTCCTGGGGATCACCCGCGTTGACATTGTGAGATGAAGAGCAGAAACCATCATTTACGACGGATATCTTGCAGTCACAGACGAAGTCAGCCACTCATCTACATAGTTTCTCTGAAAGACCATAGGATGGAAGTTTACACAAGAGGGCAGCATGTAACAGCTGATCGAAAGCTTTGGTGATATTAAGCGCAATGACATGAGCCTACTCATATAACTAGATGAGTTTACTTAACAATTGCATGAAGTAACCTAGGAGGTCCCCCGTTGATCTTTGGTTCCGGAAACCACAACTGTCTGTCGCTAATCAAGCTGTAATGTTCAAGATACTCCAGATGCTCCCGATTTATGCACCGTCACCTTACTTATAACAGAAAGCAGAGCTATAAGTCTGTAGTTGTAAGGATCAGTCTCAGATAATTTTTTTGGGACGGGCAAGACATGAGCAAATTTCTAGTTTTCTGGGAAAGTACCGAATTCTTAAGAGATCTGGAAGATAAGCGCGAGAACTGGATCAAGCTTTGCTGCATATATCTTCACTACAACGACAGGGATCAAGTCCGGACTAGGAGCTCTGCTGATATTGACAAGAGCACCCGCCTTACGGTCTTACAGGTATGCCTGAAAATTGCTTCCCGCACTCGGGAGTTGGGGGGATCTCCGTGGAGTTGGCAGCAAGGATCTTGCTCCGCCTTAGCATTTGAGTCGGTTATAATCGTTTCATTCTGGCAACCTCTCGGATTGTTTTAGTAAGTTATGGACTCTGCTTTCCTTGAGGGTACACCTGTCCTTGGATAGTTGATGTTATATTGAAGATTAAAATATTTCCTTTAAAAGAAAAATGGAGTCTGCTTTTATTACTCCAAAGGGAATTAATGTGATTCTACTTGGCAACATGGCTGAGACGACGGAAAATGTATGGAAGCATTCTCTAGGAGCGTACGTTAGCCGTTGCTAGAAATTTCTAGACGGTCGCATTTGAAACAATATATACAGGAATTGATTATCTGTACCTACGCGTTGGCTGTGTATATCAAACATACACATAACGAGTTTTGGTTTATAGTTAACAAAACAAACAAAGTTATTTACTAATCAACAAATTCAATATCGAGTTGTTTGATGGATCCCAGGCTACATATTCATAACTATTACCCAATAATGTTTTACTGTTCCAAACTCGAAACCATAACAAATGTTGGAATGTTCAAGGTAAAGTTGTAATATAGTCTGAATTTGGCGAATTAATTTTTCGTTCTTATGGTCTGGTGCCAAAGTGAAACATGCAAATAATAGCGACGTATTTGGCTTTCACCATCTTGGCTTTGCTGGTAAGTACATGTTTAGTTCAGACAAACTGTCCAAGTCGTCGCAAGAAACATTTCAAGTTATAATTAGGTTAGTTCGACCACAAAATAGGTAGCCTAAGGGCCGTATCGTCAGTCGTTCCTACAGTTGTAGGATGCCTTTATGGCTTCTTTGATTTTTATAGTTTTCTACTGTTCCGTTCAAGCTTTTGATTTATCATCTGTTATATCAGCCTGAAATTTCTCACAATTCAAAAATAAAACATAGCCTCACACTAAAAGAACGCTGACGCTGACACGGAACAGTAGGAATCTAGAAATACCCTGGCCTTCCTGAAGGAGAGAAAATACTATGAAAATCAAGGAGGCCATAAAGGTGTCCTACAATTGTAGGAACGAGTGACCCTATTGCGCGAGTGCGTGTGCACAGTGGTGTGTACGTGGTAACAAAAAGCATTGTCCCACTTCGTAGGCAGATTTGAACGCGTTAGATCTGAGTTATTGGTATGGCGCAGCTTGACAGAGGATAAATATGTAATGAATAGATGGACTGTCATAATGCTATGTTTTTCCTAGGATTTGATATCAGCTCAGTCTATTCCAACCCAAACTGAACAGGCGAACCTATTACGTGATGTCAACGAAGTTTTCGAGCTGCTAAAGCTTGCGGCAGATGAAGAAAGTGACATTGTACTTAAATCTGTAGAGCACGATGTAGATCTTATAGAGAAGAGGGCTTCTTACACCTTAGGGTTGTTAGAAAGAATAATATTGATGCGTAAGTATTACAAACAATCGAAGTGTTCGAAATTTGTAAGAGTGGTGGCTGCGTCTAGTGGCCTGGCTACTAGTGCTATGGACTTAGTTGACCGCGACTGGTGGTCTAGTCTACGAGATGTGGCAGATAGGTTGTTAAGCTGATTTTTTATTTATACAAATTTTTATTTTTTCAAACGTCAATAGAATAGTTAGTTCCCTAGCTAGATAGCGATGGAGACGTTCTTGGTAGCCGGTATCGCCTTCATTTCCGTCTCCAAGAAATATTTTAAGTTATAATTACGTTAATCCTACCAGACGTAATAATTACTCAGAGGGCAAATTCCAAATCACGGTGAAACTAGGTCGTTTTTATTTTTGGACCAATAATTTGACATCAAATAATTTTACAGATTGAAGTAAGTAGGTTGTATTTACTAGTGTGCTGAAGCTGGCAAGATGTGAATGAATCATGTATGTATTGCGTTTATGCGATAGGAAAAAATTAAGGGTATAAGTCGGATTACGCAGTCCGAATATTGGGCGGAAAGCAAATAATAGTGATTGAGTCTCTTTTAATAATCTGGCAGTATTGTGAAGTAAGCCTATTCTGGTTTAAATTTTTAGATAGTTCGAAATAGTAAAAATATTTCCTTCAAAGTGTCAATGTCGAAATCTAAGCGACTTGTTTTGCACCAACCTACGAGTATAAGGAATTTTTAATGGTCATTAATAAGATAATTATTAATTACCAATATCCCCAAAAAAGAACCGAACATTGAAGACATATTTTAGGTTAATATTAGGTGAGCTATAACCTATGGATTTGTCTTCGAGGTCAAGAATTCTTTAAGTACTTTTTTGAGTTTTTTTTTTGTTTTGAACCAATTTAACCTCTTAGTTGAAGGTCTACTATGACCTTAAATTGGTACGTAGTTACTAATTTTTGACAAAGGATTTAACTCTCAAGCCAATTCAACGTTTAAGGGCAGCATTTAAGGACAAAATTACGAAAATTTGATAAATACAGGTCATATCTTTCGTATGTGCGAAAGTTTGATTAAAGTTTGAAAAATGGTACATATGTTCATATTTAACAGGGCATTTAAGATTCTTAATGGTAAATGACATACTGATTTGTCTTTTGCACTTTCGATGTTTTTGTCGGTTTTAGAACTTGGACCGGAGTTTATCTTCAACGTGTCTCTGCCTTTCAAAAATGATTTGCGACAGTGAAAAACTTGGTCTCTACTCGCTACTACCAAAAAATAAAGTTGATGGTTTCTCAAAGACAAAACGTCGGGGACAAAGTTTGAAAACACTATCATGTAGTGCCTAAAAGTTCTATTAGTTTTTTGATATTTCCTAAAATAAAATCAGAAAAACAGAAAAACAACACGATTCTTCCCAAATACCTCAGTAAGCCAAGAAATTCTTACAAGTTTATAATTGCCATGTAAACACGTCCCAAGAAACGCATATTTTAAAATGTATCTCAAATGCTATCCTGTGACAAAATATAAACTGAAGCTTGCAGTCTTTTTGTAATCCAGTTTTATTGAAGTTTTCGCGGGTGAACAGTTGGGATAATCTGAGGATTGATAGGGGGTGACGATGTCAACCCCTGAACGTCCAAGCCTTCGATATGAACGAACAGAGCACGTCCTCTCAAATTAGGTCACTGTCGCTTCAAAGTTTGGAGAAAGTCGAAGCTACAGTCGCGATCAAGTTATCCTGGAATAATATTCTTCTATAGATCTAGTAAGAGCTTTCCGATAAACTGAATTGCTTTGAAAAAAGCGCTATTTGGACTGGAAAATGAGTCTCTTGGGACTCTATTTGGGCATCAAGAAGTAATTGGTATCTAATTGTTGATCTACGCATCCAATACGAAAAAAATCTTATCTACGCAACCAATTTGAAAAATTTTTGAAAATCTCTTTTGCCAAATCTAAAGTTTCACAATGGAAGAGGACGAAGCCCCATAAGGCCGGCTTTCGGTGTGCTACAATGTTGATGAAAAAAAGAAAATGCATTTTTTTCATATGTATAAAATAACTGAACTGTTATGCTTATAGGATTTTTGAAGGGCGTTTTGAAGCCATTTCAAGGTCATTCCGAAAATGGCAGACTCGATTTTCCGGCATTTTCGCAATTTGACTTTGAAATGACCACAAACTGCCCTTCCAATAGCCTGATCTGATCTCAGACTCGGGCTCAGAGAGCCCAAACGCTTATAAGCATGACAGTTAAGTGCCAGCTTCCTAATTAGTTTCTCCGTACACTTCAAAATTTCACGTAAATCTGACCTGCACCCTGGAGGAGATTTCTGTAAGTGTCGTTTAGTTATTTTTTCACCCAAAAAAATGGAGCTTGGTTCAGATTGCTCATACTCACGTACGCGAGGAAGTCAATCTATTTGACAATATATAAATAAATCAACAACTGTTTAATTTTTTTGAAATATTTTTAATGATTTCTGTGTATTCTTGTGCTTCCAGGTCTGTCCTGTGACGCAAACTCAATCTCTTCTCTAGACTACCGACCGCACATCAAAACCGTCAAATTAGAAGGTGTCGCCGCCCTGACAGCATGCTCTGCCTCCTCACTCGACAGAGTCCGCTCTGGCGCCGCCCATTTGAAAAACATCACCACCCACGCAGTTTCGAGTGGTCAAGGGGTGTTAAATAAACTGGATGCTTGCAGTAAGAAGTCAGGATTGGCTGTGATTGCATGTTATAGGAATATTATTGTAAATGACGTAACACCAGTTAAGGTGAGTATTAAGGAGCGTTTCAATATACATCATGCTATTATGGGGACTACACAATTACCACTGAACGGTATGTGACAGAATAGATAGGTTGGAATTGTTCCTCTAGGTGAGCAGCAAAATCCAAAGTTTGTAAATTTGCCAAAATTTTCTAAGGTACAAAACATAAGGAATTTGACCACCGGCCAATTAAAAAAACATATAGTAATAGATAATATTGTGCTGATGAGATGTTCCCAGGGGCGCAAAACCCAAAAATTCTTTCCATTGAAAATACAGGGTGTTAGAGTTTGGTGCCTTAGCCTCTGTGTGTAGTACGCCTACACCATTTTACGAAAACGAACTCGTCTTCAATGAACTTAGGTAACTTAACGATATAATAAAAATCACATACAGTATATATATATATACAGGGTGACTTTGAAGTTGAGTCATTAATTTTCAGATAATGATTGTAGAAGGAAGATAAACCAAAATATGTGTGTAAAAATAGAAAAAATTTAAAAAAAATGTTACCTTATTTTATAAAGTATCCTCCCGACAAGTATTTCAGTGCGGACCTGTATTTGATCGTCCGGTCTTGGAGCACCGGCATGCCCTCCCCTGTGAGGTCTTAAGTCACCTGATTCACGAGCCTTTTGTACTTCATTAACAAAGGCACGAGGGGTTGGTTGCACTCGATTGGGAAGCCGATCGGCATAAATCCGTGATGCCGCGGCAGCATTTTGTAAAGACTCCCCCCCCGTAAATAAGAATCATGTCCACAAGTTCACCATTTTCGTAAACATGTGCCCTTTTTTATTTCGTTTGAGCCACGCAACAAACACCACTATTCGCTCACGCGTTACCGACTGACACATTGACTGAATACAACCAAAAACATCGTGATAAGCGTTTCAAATTCTTTCGCTTTTTTGTTTCCGATGCGATGAACCGATGAGACGGATTATATCCGTTGTTGCCAAACACGAGCACATAATATTATTATTGAGACAGGGCGTTACTCAAACTTCTAAAGGGCTATAACTTTGTTACTTTAGTTTTACCAGAAAAATGTTAAAGGAAAAAAACATTTCTTTTAATCAGATCTACTCACTGTTAAAATAAATGACTCAACTTCGAAGTCACCCTGTATATATATATATATATATATATACTGAGTCACCCTGTATATATATATATATACTGAGTGACATATAAATCCGAACACCCAGTTTAAATGGATTTATTTTAATAAAAGTTAGTATACTATATTTATCTCACTGTAAATAACAAGTGAAAAAATTTTCAGCCTTATCAGTTGGACATTCCGGTTTTTATACTGTTTTTTTTAATTCACTTACGCTCTAAAAATGAATATTCCAGCCGCAGTAAAGAATCAACGTTGGCGGATTTTGGTTCTTGACATTCTTTACAATCGGTTACGATGCCTACAGTACGGAGACCTGTACGATTTCGTCAGCTTAGTGAGTTTGATAGGGGCCGTATAGTGGGACTTCGGGAAGCTGGACTTTCTTTTCGGGCAATTGCAGTTAGAGTGCAAAGAAGTGTAGACACTGTGGTTAGGTGTTGTCAGGCATGGCTTCGAGAAGGCCGTACGCAAAGAGCAAGGGGCACTGGACTCCGCCATAGAACAACAGACCGTGAAGATCGCCGCCTAAGATTATTGGCCTTGCGAAGTGTTTACCGACGAATGAGAAGTTTTGGCTTCTTTTCACACCGACCACCCTTTAACTCGAGACCACCGACGTAATCGCCTTGAGTGGTACAGACAACGGTCACTCTGGGATCAGGAATGGAACAGTATTGTCTTTAGTGACGAGTCTCGATTTTGTTTAGGCATGCACGATGGTCGTGCCAGGGTTAGAAGGCGACGTGGTGAAAGGAGGAATCCACAGTTTTTTGTTGAAAGACATGTTCATCACACTGTTGGAGTTATGGTTTGGGGTGCTATAGCTTATGGTTCCAGGTCACCCTTAATCTTCATCAGAGGTAACATGAACGCGCAGCGTTATATCCACCAAGTTCTAGAACCCCATCTTTTACCCTATCTCGACACCCTGGCAGATCCAACTTTCCAACAAGATAATGCCCGACCACATGTTGCAAGAGTCACAATAGACTTCTTTCAACATAATGATGTCACATTGTTAGCATGGCCACCAAGATCTCCCGACTTATCCCAAATTGAGCACGTGTGGGATATGATGGGTAGGAGATTGCTCAATTTGCAACGTCCTCCTCAGACTCTAAAAGCACTTCGAGAGGAGTTGGTGGTTGCCTGGAATGAGATACCACAGGAGGACATTGACCACCTGATCAGAAGCATGCCTAGGCGCGTTGTAGAATGCGTAGCACATCAGGGTGCATCCACACATTATTAGAGGTCAAAGGGTTTTAAAGCAGTGCAATCATTTTGAAATTTTTATCATTTACTTATTATGCTTCATTAAGTACTTATACAAAATTTTATTAAAATAAAACCATTTAAACTGGGTGTTCGGATTTACATGTCACTTAGTATATATATATATATATATGAGCAGTAGTCATTGCCATTGCTAGCGACGAGTTGGGCAAACAATACAATCAAATTATTTATTGGGAACACTTTTGACGGTAATCTCGAGCTTTCGACAAACTATGTTGTCATCTTCAGGAGCTAAAATACAATTATGAGAATAGCAACCAATTTAGAACAGATTTAAATTTTCAAATTACTTACTCGTCGGTGAGGTTGCAGCTGAACGGTACTTTAAAACAAAAGCGTGGATCAGAGCTTGTTACAATTATAAAAGTAAAAGACCGGACACATTGGTGTTTTGTGTGATGGAACACATAGCTAGGTGCTACAACCATATATCAATAAGACCGAACAAATTGAAAAATTGGAAAACATTCTCAAGTTATTAAAAAACCAACGCTACATTTTTGGAAACAGTAAATTCTTTTTTAACGCGCTATACTTGTTGCACGGGGTGATAGTGAATGAACCCGGAAATGTGACGTGGTAGACAGATGACAGATGTACGTCATGAAAAAATGTGGAAGTGTAAAAATTATTGCCAAATCTTCAGGTATAGTGCATACGAGGGGTATTCGAAAAAACTTTTCATATTTCCCAAAATGCTGAATTAGTTTTGTTTTGGAAAAGTGTACTTTCGATGAACATATGATGGTAATGACACACCAGAAAAGATGGGTTGTGTGGAAAGTTTTTAATATTTATTATTACTACGAAAAATTCCTTTATTTTAAGGAATATACGAGTATAATGGAAATTGATGCTCTATTGTTGGGAAGATGTTGGAATAACTGAAATATGTAGACGTTCTAATTTTTCGCAGTTCAACAAGTAAGAATACATGATACTAAGTTGCTCAGCATGAGCCTTTCTATTCATACAGTGATCTGTCATGAAAATGTGGAAAATTTGTAAGAATAGACGTTTTGAAAGGTGTTATTCTTTGTCAAGAACCCTAACACTGTCATAACTCATAGAATGACCTGTAGTTTTGACATGTGATGCCAAAGCACACCTTTCTGGGTGTAATCTGTATGTGTGAGGTTATCCTGCCTTAGTGATCTAGATGTTTGGCCTATGTATGTTTTTTTTAATAACTTGAGTATGTTTTCCAATTTTACAGTTTGTTCGGGCTTATTGATATATGGCTGTAGCACCTAGCTATGTGTTCCGTCGTTAACAACAAACCCAATGTGTCCGGTCTTTTGGTTTTATAATTGTAACAAGTGTTCATCCACGCTTTCGTTTTGAAACACCATGTAGCTGCAACCTCACGGACGAGTAAGTAATTTGAAAACTTAAATCTGTTCTAAATTGGTTGCTATTTTCATAATAGTGCTTTAGCTCCTGAAGATAGCAACATAGTTTGTCGAAAGCTTGAGGTTACCGTCAAAAGAGTTCACTACGCTTTAAGTTTTGCCAATTCCCAATAAGCAATTTAATTGTATTTTATATATATAAAATGGATCCCTATTTCGCGTGGTCACCTCATAATTTGAGAACGACTTTGCCGATCTCATTCATCTTTTTTTTTTAAAGTTCCATAATCTTACGGAAAGAAAAATCAAGAAAATTGGGTAATCATTGAAAACATAATGATTATTTAAGCTACGCGCGTTTGACAGTTTATTTGAGCATGGCGCACGCACAGCAGAAGAAATATCTTAAGTACCAAAAGAGACAGGCACTCCTCTTCGCCATCTCTATTCGAAAATCTATTGACAGTTAGCTATGTGAGAGGAAATTGCTTATGAAAACACGGTGCTTTCGTTTTTGGACTCATATTTCTTTATCTTCCGTACTTTATGATGGCCCGTTCAAAATAAACCGCGTGTTGCCTAATTGTTATCTTTGTCAGTTAACTCTATGAATAAGAATGGCGGATGAAAATACGTTTCTTTTGCTTAATTTACTTTCACTACTGTATTATTTTGAACTTGACAGCTCGCACGCCGCAAATTTATATTATGGTTTAACAGCGTTTGTCGATGAAAAAATATTGTTTCATTTAATTAGTAGTGCCCAGTCCATTCGATTAGAGATTTTATACACTTTTAAGTTTGTTCAGTGAGTTTTTTGAGAAGTATTTGTTCAAAAATAAATAACAATGGTGGAAGTTAGTTCACCGCAATCACACCTTATATTAAAATTGTGATTCTTCAAAATGCCACCGATTAGGCGTATCAACCTAGGTCGCAGAACTCGCAATGTTGCAAGTCAAAGATATATACGAAGAAGTCAAACTGACGAGCGACGAGAAGCGAGAAATGAAGTTGAATGGGTCGAAGGACTGAAAACGTAGAAGTAACGCATTTAATCCCAGTCGAGCTGCATTCAATTATGACATGGCAATCGATTAGAGTTCACAACAAATCGTTGCTATTGGACCAATGAACGAGTCCACATTGCAAGGCTTTCAAGTTCAAAATTAAAGCCGCTGGATTATGTTGTGTCAGTGTAAAGATCAAATTGACTCCATTGGTACCACCACCAGAGCCACTACATTCATTGGTGTCCAGAAATGAGCCAGATTCTATAAATTTTTTTACTCATATCCAGCAATACAACAATTTCTTTCAAATGACGTCATTTGGCGCAACAAAATTCATGCCACAAATTGACTCCATTGGTACCACCACCAGAGCCACTACATTCATTGGTGTTCAAGAAATTGGCCAGATTCTATAAACTTTTGACTCATATCCGGCAATACAATAATTACTTTCAAATGACGTCATTTGGCGCAACAAAATTTATTCCACATAATTTGATGCCTACTTTCAAGGTAAGTTGATGGGGGAATGACAGTCCGACTAACGTATTTTGCTAGCCACATGGCGGTAAAAGCACTTCTCTATACAATTACCTATATTCCATATATTTACCCTTTTATTATTCATTATCCGTCCCAGTTTGTTATATACCTTTTTCCGCATGATCCTTTTCTCTTTGTGTATATATATATATATATATATATATATAGGATGTTCCAACAAAATCCGTTAATCGAAAAATTATATCAGGTTTCATAATTGTGTATCTCTAAATCATTTGGAAATATACAGGGTGTTACATAATACCGTGGCACTACATCATCATACTTTTTTCGATGGAACACCTTACATTTTATTAGATTTCTGAAACTACTTTTCAAGCCCAACTGCGGAAAATGTCCATAATACGAGTATTTGTATGATTGCTTAAAAAGAGTGTTGCAAAGTATAAAATATTTGTTTAACAAATTATAAATGTGCTCGTAAAACCCTGTATATTTTACTCCATCAGGTTTTCTGAATCATAAACTCTGTTTTGATAGCAGATTTGTAGTAGTTTATTTGAACGGTGATCTGGTTATAAACTTGGCGTAGGTACTTTTTCATCCTCTTTGCAAATTCAGTGTGAGAACTATGCAAACTGACGGGAGTCAAGGCATTAAAGGATGACATTTTTTAACAAAAATTACACAATCTAAGCAAATAATGATCAAAAACTAACAGTGTATCATATCATTCTTCTTGTTTTCAAAAGATCTTTTCAAATATCTAATAAAATATTGGGTGTTTCATTAAAAAAACATGTTTGCTATGCCGTGGAGCTATGCAATGTCTAAATGTTCTATAAATTCACCCCTATAAGATGTCAATCTTGCTGATCAAATCATTTTCGAATTCTCTTTATTATCTTTCTATTTACTACTTTCCATTTTCGTTGGAACACCCTGTATATATTGTATGTGTTCACGTGATTTTTATTATAGTCGAGTTAAGTTTTCATGAAATGGTGCAGGCAGGCCTACCCACAGAAGGTAAGGCACCAAACGTCAACACCCTGTATCTTCAATAGGAAACATTCCTGGGCTTTGCCAATTGCATTAGAATTGGCAGGTATTCAAATTCCACGTTTTGTGCCTAGTATAGACTTCCAAAATTCCAAAAATTTCCGAAACTTCTAAAATTTCAGAAATTTTCAGAATTTCAGAAAATTCAAAAATCCAAGATTTCCAAAATTCTCAAAATTTCCACAATTTTGTGGCATTGGAGCTACTTTCTGTTCTGATCCTTGTTTTGATCTCCAATATCTATTAAGTGCAATTGGCACTTTACATATTAAAACCTTTTTGAGGCCGCAGGTATTTGTTTTATTGTTGTAACATGAGAATTGTTTTCTTTAGGTGGCTTTAATGGATACAATCAAGACCCACAAAGAAAAATGTTCAGAGGTGGCAGCAATAAGGAATGACGTGAACAAATGTGTAGATATGACAGTGGAACAATACAGGAGTTTGTTGGAAGTAGAACTAGAAAAAGCACTAAGAAATATGACGTAAAACCATACGAATTGTTTTTATATTTATTTATTTATCAATTAATAAATGTTTGCATAACTCCGATTGCATTCTTTATTCTCCTTGGTCACTAGATTTATATCGACAGCAATGTAAGGAGAAATCTATGATGTATGAAATATGTCTATTAGGTGCGTAAAATTACCGGATTTGGAAGTGTATTAATATACCAACATCAAACATTTTTCTGTTCTGGTATACAAAACAAATGAAATCTGATAATTTCAAGGCTTACCTAGGAATTTCTGTTTTTCTGGAATGACTAATTTTTCGCGATGTCAATGTATGACAAATTATACATTTTTGAAATCAGACGCAAACACATTATCTGCGCAAAAATCCCATAGGGTACAATAAGAAAAAATAAAGTTATTGATGGACGCCAAGGGACGAAACGTCATATTGAAATTATATTCATGCCATATTGTAGAGAGAAGAAAAAGTGACAATGTTAATATGCAATCTATTCTGAAATCCCATCTTAAAAAAAGGTAAGAAAAAATAAAAGTTATTTTGGGATAAATCTGGTAAGCGAAACAAATGACCATCTGATATAATTTCAAGGGCGACCTGTTTTTTTTTTAAATACCTAATGTTCGGCAACTTTAATATATACTCGTAGTATAACGTATTATACATTTTTGGAATGAAAATTGAACGTTCTATTCATCTGTGCAAAGATCTGATATGGCATCTATAAGAAAAAATAAAGTTGATACTGGAGGATAATTATGCAATCTTGAAGAGGAGAAAAAGTAGCAATGGTAATATGCAGTTGATTTTGAAATCTCACTACAAATAAAGTAAGTAAAAAATTGAAACGATTTCGAAAAAAACGTTTTTTCCGTCTCTCTCCGGAAGAATACCGAAACATTTTAAGCGGCATTTTGTTGATTATCTAAATACGCAACTGTGTCCCTTTTTGAGAGACTGGAATCTCTTACAGTTTTCGAGATCGCAGTGGTGAGGGTCAAATTTGAAACACCATGCATACAGTAAACTAGCGCAACATATATTATCTTTTGTTTTTGATATCTGTTACCTAACAACTTTTGTCTTTTTTGCATGTGCGTTTAAGTGTTGCTAAACGTCGTTACCATTTACAACTTGTTTTATCTGTATTGAATTGTACAGTTTCAGTAAAGATGATTATAGTTATCATTATTTTCCAAATTATATGTGGGCCAAGGATTAGCGGACTAAAAACTCTCATTAGCCGTTTGTTTAGACGGTGCTTTCGACCCAGTGCTCTCCTGTTTCTAAGCTAGCTGCAAACAAGTAAATAAAAAGAAATAAAGCAGTGAACTGAAGTGTACTCACGGGTAATCTTGTATCGGACCTCCTTAGAGCGAATATCCCGACTGGAAACAATCCGTAGCCCTGTTTTTCCCTCTCGGACAGACTCTTGCGGGCAATAAGGGTGTAGTTACCCTCAGCATCGCCGTTTTCATCCATGTATACCATGTAGCTGCAAGAAATCCATGAAGTGTCTAATATACAGGGTGGTTAAAAAAAATGAGTGACAATATTAAATATCAGAAATCAATGTATTTCAAAGTAGAACCTGCTGAGGTTGTTCATATTATGGTGTTTAGCTCACATATTCAAAACAATTTTTCTCGGAAAAGAGTAATCTGCCAATAATTTCTCAAAAGAGACAATTCATGTAAAAGAATTACTTTATTTAAAAGTGCAATAGACGTTTCAAAAAAGTCAGTGACGCAAAAAAAATCGTTTTTCTTCTGTAGGGGTCAAAAACTTTAATTTTTGTATGTATGCTGTTAATACTGCCGCAAGTGGTCTCCCTGTAATACCTTACACGCATTGCTTCATACATAGGTCGATAGATAAAAAGTCAAATCCACTGAGTAATATGCACTTCGTCGGTAAGTAACGCATAATCTGCAAAGTTGTATCAGTTGCCACCGATGTGGGGGATTCTATCGGCTTATAAAGACTAGATGGACGAAGTTCTTTCCGTGGGGACCATTGGACCTTCTGGAGCCAGAAATTAGGTACCCATTTTATTTACTGTACTTATATTTGAACGGCAATATAATTGTTGATAATTATTATTATTATTTGAGCATTCACACCAGCGAGTCTGCGCAACCTGGAGCAAACTTACCCTGCAGGCGCCTAATTCTAAATGAGTTTTTACTATTGAAATTAATTTTGATGGCGCCTTGTGACAATATACTTGATTCACTATGATTATAGCAATCTTCTACATTCAAATTATTATAGCAGTGTCAAAATCAGCATAGCAAGTCAAGTATATCGTCAAAAGGCGCCATCAAAATCAATTTCAACGATCGATAGAATCAGGCCCTAGGTGACAAAATTCCAGGACAATATCTTAACATATTCTAAAGATACGATCTTTTTTCGATGTGAAAATTGTAACTTCAGAATCGTATATCTCGGTAAGGAGGTAAACATATTGCTACGTTTTTTTCTGAAACGTCATATTGTAGTTATTGTATAGCTTAGGCGACCAGAGTTACGCGGCCATGTATGAAGCGTGCCTGCATTCTGGACCGTTCGCGACACAATCGTGAGTAATCGTCTAAAAGCACCTACTGCCATTTAGACCACTTCTTTGGAAGTTCAAGACTCTGCCTGGAAAACGCTAGAATATTTCTCGACGCGTCAATAGGTGGATGAATACCCGACCAGATGGCTGAAGCAGTTAGTCACAGCCGAGCCAGTCAAACAACACTGAATGCCGTAGTTCAGTCAACGTGGTTATAAATTGTCATAAATTAGTATAAGTGTTATAAGTTAGTGTAAAAGTAATAACTTAGACTTTGGATAGAAAAAACGGTGTATTCGTTTCAGCATTGGACTATTATTCCATCTTAATAGCGCTCGCTGTCCTCTGACTCGACTGTGCCTCGACTCTTACTAACTGCTTCCGTCTTCCGCCACCTGGTCGGGTATTTATTCACCTTATGTCGCATCGAGAAATGTTCTAGCGTCTAGTCCTGAAATTCCATGGAAGTAGTCTAGATAGCAGCAGGTGCCTCCAGACGGATCTAGGTTACTCGCGATTGCATCGCGAACGCTCGAGAATGCAAGCACGTTCCACACTTGGTCACGCAACTCTGGTTGCCTGAGCGTCGACTCTGCCAAGCGACTCCTCGCTGCTCAAGGCCCCAGCTATACGAGGGCATTGCATTATGAAACAATGATTTGTACTTACCCCATAGCACTTTTATAGTGAGTACCCTTCATAGCATCAATGACGGCAGTACCATTCCTTGGATTCCCACCAGCATCAAGTACTTTCGTCAAAGCTTTTGCGTAAACATGTACTGAATCATACAAATATGCAGCTTCAGCCCTAATCTGCGAAAAATGCAACTTTTTTTTGTTTGTACTACCATGCCATTATGACATATGTAGTTATGAATAACTCCGTAAAGAGGTGCACATTTTCCAAGTACGGAACTTAGAGTTGCCGATAATTTTTGTTAGTAACTCTTTGATCCTTTTTAATATTATAACAGAGCTATCGACCGAATATACACTAAAAGCTCACCCTAAGGTATATGCCTTGACTTAGAGCAGTATCGTCAGTCGTTCCTACAATTATTGTAGGACGCCTTTATGGCCTCTTTGATTGTCATAGTTTTTTCTCTCCTTCAGAAATTTCTAGATTTCACCTGTTCCGTGTCAGCGTCAGCGCTCTTCTATTGTGACGTTATGTTTTCTTTTTGAATTGTAGGAAATTTCAGACTGATAAAACAGATGATATAAATCAAAAGCATGAACAAATTGATGCAAATAGATATTTGTGACATACCCTCAAACTAGAGTGCTGCCACGGAAAAGTAGAAGACCATGACAATCTAAGAGACCATAAAGGCGTCCTACAATTGTAGGAACGACTGACGATACGGCCCTTAAACTTACCCTCTTTTCTCCTCCAAAATACTTTAGTGGATTCGTAAAATTGAATGGCGGTTTCTCCATGTAAGAATTTACCAAACTAGTGAAGTTCTCGAACCCTAGAGGGCTCGAGGGCACTACGCCAATGTAACTTCTATACGCCCTTTGCGCTACAGGGTCCACGTCATCCCAAAGGTCTCTCAAAAGTCCTTTGAGGTACTTGGTAGGATTCTCGCTGTCGTATTGTTCGATATCTACACCCACTACGAAGTATTCACCTAGAATAGTCACCAATCAAAAAGTAACTATGTGTTATTGCTCGTAGTTTACTTTGCACAGGTTAACATTTTCCAACGAGCCATGATAATGAGAGCTTTATCGCTCTAGAGCGGATAATTAGCAAGGATGCCTGATATTGGTTGAGGTCGGACCGATGCCAGACATTTCCATGTTGCCAGATTGCCAAATATGTCATCATAACAATGATTTCGAATAGATTAGAAGCAGCACAGCTTATAAGCTTACTTTCCATTTTTTGTCGCCATAATTGTGTAGTTTTAGTGCATACTTTTGGCTAATTTGCCTACCAAGCATATTCAAGTAGGTATTCGTACCGGGTGTATTCATGTAGAGCAAGGCAGAAATACTACCTGTGCTGCGATGTGAATCGCTCGGTTATTGTCAATAAATAGGGATAAATTACATAAGGCAAACGAGGGTAAATATTTAATAATGGATATGAACAATTCTGCTCAATTCGTGATTTTCTAAGGTAAACAATACGAGACATTCGCTCCGTGAAACAACCACAATGGCGGAATACCTAATATTGGGAATAGTGGGACACCTTGCATGAATTCTACTCGGCTTTTCATAGTTGTCGTGCTAAAAGCAAACACGTATATGGAAATTCTTACTATTATATCATTGTCACTATATTTATCCAATAAAAAACGTTGAATTATAGTTTTTTTTGGACGTGCTGAACTTCCTCCATAGAATCTCGTGGCATCAAACTAAGATACTTAGTAAGATTACTACTCAAATTATGGATGTGCAACCAACGAACGACTTTTAAAAAAAGCGACTTTATCCAATAGAAGACGAATGAGTACTGGTTACGTTGTTTTACATGTATCTCTTACAACCTAGGCTAGAAAAAAGGAATTGAAAAGTGCAAACCTAAGCAACTCTACATTTGAGATCATCATCATAGCAGTGCCGTAATTATTCCCTCTTCAAGAAGCTTAAACCCTCCCGGCACAAAGGAAAATTTTCGTTAAGTTCAATGTCATTTTTGACTAATTGATTTTTTGGTTATTCTTGCTTCAAAAGAGAGAGCAATTGATTTTTCAAACAAATTAGAAATATACTAAGTAACATATAAATCCGAACACACAGTTTAAATGGTTTTATTTTAATAAAAGTTGGTGAATGTATTTATCTTACTGTAAATAACAAGTGAAAAAGTTTTCAGCCTTATCAGTTGGGCATTCCGGTTTTTATACTGCTTTTTTTTAATTCACTAACGCTCTAAAAATGAATATTTCAGCTGCAGTAAAGAATCAACGTTGGCGGATTTTGGTTCTTGACATCCTTTACAATCGGTTACGATGCCTACAGTACGGAGACCTGTACGATTTCGTCAACTTAGTGAGTTTGATAGGGGCCGTATAGTGGGACTTCGGGAAGCTGGACTTTCTTTTCGGGCAATTGCAGTTAGAGTGCAAAGAAGTGTAGACACTGTGGTTAGGTGTTGTCAGGCATGGCTTCGAGAAGGCCGTACGCAAAGAGCAAGGGGCACTGGACGCCGCCGTAGAACAACAGACCGTGAAGATCGCCGCCTAAGATTATTGGCCTTAAGGGACCGTTTCTCCACTACCAAGTCCATTGCAAATGAATGGTTTGCAGAACACGGAAGACCTATTGGCATGCGAAGTGTTTACCGACGAATGAGAAGTTTTGGCTTGTTTTCATACCGGCCACACTGGGTCCTCCCTTTAACTCGAGAACACCGACGTAATCGCCTTGAGTGGTGCAGACAACGGTCACTCTGGGATCAGGAATGGAACAGTATTGTCTTTAGTGATGAGTCTCATAGGTTTTGTTGAGAGACATGTTCATCACACTGTTGGAGTTATGGTTTGGGGTGCTATAGTTTATGGTTCCAGGTCACCTTTAATCTTCATCAGAGGTAACATGAACGCGCAGCGTTATATCCACGAAGTTCTAGAACCCCATCTTTTACCCTATCTTGACACCCTGGCAGATCCAACTTTCCAACAAGATAATGCCCGACCACATGTTGCAAGAGTCACAATAGACTTCTTTCAACATAATGATGTCACATTGTTACCATGGCCACCAAGATCTCCCGACTTATCCCCAATTGAGCGTGTGGGATATGATGGGTAGGAGATTGCTCAATTTGCAATGCCCTCCTCAGACTCTAGAAGCACTTCGAGAGGAGTTGGTGGTTGCCTGGAATGAGATACCACAGGAGGACATTGACCACCTGATCAGAAGCATGCCTAGGCGCGTTGGACAATGCGTAGCACATCAGGGTGCATCCACACATTATCAAAGGTCAAAGGGATTTAAAGCAGTGTGAAATTTTTATCATTTATGCTTCATTAAGTACTTATACAAAATTTTATTAAATTAAAACCATTTAAACTGGGTGTTCGGATTTATATGTCACTTAGTATACAATAAATGTTAAAGTACATAAAATAGTTACAATGCTAAACGTGGACGTTTTGTGTGAAAAATCTAAGTTTTTTAATTTACCATGTAATAAAACGTTATTCAATTGGATATCCAAGCAACCCTTTACATCAGTATTTTCAAATAACATATTCTTATCATAGTTCACCATAATGTTAGGTATATGTATAAAGGTTTCGACATATCAGAAGTCTTCAAATACTCCGTATGATCAATAAATGTTTTACAGTTTAAGCTGATAATAAAAGAGGAATCAATTTCTTTTGTTGCTTTGGTACAATCTTTATATACTGGAATATTCTTGTTAGTATTCAAAAAATAATTATCATGTTTTATTTGAAGTACTTCTGAAAATGGACCTTTTGCCAAGAATGTACAATTTTCAACTTTAAGTAGGTTGTACTTCGCTTTTCAGTTGAGAAATAGTATTAGCAAATTCTGCAATAAACTTTGAATTATCCAAAAAATAAATTAGATCTCTGTGACATCCATGATATTCTGGTACCATATATTTAGCTACCCCGATAGCATTAAATATTTATTAAATATTTAAAAAAAATGTTTGATACATATTTTTAGCGATAGATTTTTTAATATTTAATAAATATATTTCTTATATATGTATAAAATATTCATTATAGATTTTTGTAGTATATATAATTCATATATTTCTGCGATATTTTTTCCAAATATTTAGAAAATATATGAGGAAAGATTTTTAAAGATCAATTTGATGAAATATCTAATATTTTTCGTAAATATGTATGGATTTTCAAGCATTAAACTGATACATATTTTCAATGTAGGTAGAAAATTATTCATTGGTTATTTTAGAATAACCTGTAGGGATGCTTATATAAAATTGGGTTTATGAAGAAAATTCATTCTAGATATAATGGTTTAATCTGCTAGAAAATATCAAAAAAACATTCTAAGCCCCTTCTGCATCTCGCAAGTCCACTCCTCTGAAAAAAAAACAAACTTACTAATTATGAAGTATTATTGAATACATAAGCTGCTTTCCAGTGTATTTATTGGTGAGTTACTCCGAGTAGCTCAACTGGGTCACTGAAAAACAGCTCTATCGTGCACCTAAAAGGATCCCACATGTAATGCCTATGATAGTTCGAGATTTCTTTAATTTTTAAGAAAATTTAGTATGTGATTTTAGATATCTTGATGAAAAATGTGCATGGGCTCAACTTGATCCTTTGACTAACACGTATTGATTTTGTTGAAATGTGACTTTTTTTGGTAGTACACTTCAAGGCTAGTTATTTATGGTCTTATGAATACCTTTATAGTCAGCTGGCACAATAATGTTTACCAGAAAGATAAATTAAGCTAAGTACTTATCGAAAAACGTACCCTTTTCGCTTTTCCACAAAAAAAAAACACTCAAATAATGAACCACTTGGACATACACTGGAAGCACGCGATCATAGTGAAAGTCACAGGTAAGATGGCTGCCGGCAAACGGGTCGTCTCAGGCCGACTTGCTATTATCCCATTGGTCGCTGGAGGTCACACGCACATGCACCGTAGCCGAAAATATTTAATGAATATTTTCTAAATATTGGAGATTTAATATTTTCCATTGATTTAAAAGTAAATATTTAATGAATATTATAAAAGAAATATTGTATTTAAAATATTTAAAAGATATTGAATAAATAATTAATAAAAATATTATATTACAAATATTTATTAAATATTTGTTTAAGAAAACAAATATTTATGTAAGATAAAAATATTATTAAATATTAAATAAATATTTAATGAATATTTCGTGCTATCAGGGTACATTAAGTTTAATTTGTAAATCTTGAAGAGACATGGTTAACTGATTAAAATTAAGACGTGACGGTGTCACATAACTTGTCTAACAGGTGTATTTTCGACTACAGATTCAAATTCAGCATCGGACATTAAATATTTGCAAATAAAGTCACTTTTATAGACGTCAAATAAATTCACTTGTAGAAACCGTTTATATCTAAATGTAAAGCAATCTATGAAAAAATCACTGGGTACTGCAAAAATTGTAAATATTGTTTCTTACGCTACACTGAGCACTAGCAGATTCATTTGGATAGATCTGAGATACCTCCTTGGCCAATACAGCTCCTCCTGGTTGACAGCTTGCCTGCCGTGGATCTAGCACCTCGCTTCTGTCCGCTCCTGTCGTTTTCTCAAGTGTGGTTGTCTGCTCCAAAAATACTTAGCAAGTATTTCGGTCTGGTACTTCGATGGTGATGAGCCTGCTCGGTTCAGCCTTCAAAGTTCTTTGTGATCAACGTTAAAACGATTGAAATCGTACCCGAACACACCGGACTATTTTTGGCACTTTTTTCGGTCTCGATTGAGCGATACTCGTCAATCAATACCGCCGATTATCGATTCGGTACGCCGATCCTGTTCGCAACGCCAATTATGAATGTGCAACCAACGAACGACTTTTTAAAAAAGCGACTTTATTCATCAGAAGACGAATGAGTACTGGTCACGTTGTTTTACATGTATCTCTTACTTAAATATAACCTAGGCTAGAACAAAGGAATTGAAAAGTGCAAACCTAACCTACTCTACATATGAGATCACCATCATAGCAGCGCTGTAATTCTCATAAGGCGAAAGTACTTTTTCTAAGAAGTTTTAGATTTAAGATTGAAGTTGATAAAGTCAAGTGCTAATGTATGTAGGTTAGTCGGTTTATAGTTGCGGTTGGCCCTTTTCACCATCC